CCATCATTGTTGTTTGGCGGGCCCGGGCTGGGGATTCGAACCCGCCACCTTAGGTGTATGTGGCTGGCGCCTTAGCTGCTTGAGCCACAGGTGCTGAGCCTGAACATACTTTTTTTAACCAGTTTATTTTTTGTTGTATTGTGTTGGTATTTGTCCTTGACAAAATTTTCATTAAAAGTTGCACATAGAATATTTATGTTATTTACAAAATAAATATTTTATGCAGACTGCGTTTTACAGTCTTCAGAATTTATACTCTAGATTTTGCACTTTTTGGTCTCATAGCTATATTCCCCTTATTTTTGCAGTTTTCAAGAAACACTAAAATTTCACTTAGAATAAACACTTCTCTTTTTTTCTTTTTTGAGACAGAGTCTCACTCTGGATAGAGTGTTATAGTGTTGTGGTGTTATAACTCACTGCAACCACAAACTCAAGGGCTCAAGCAATCCTTCTTGCCTTAGCCTCCCCAGTAGCTGAGACTACGGGTCCCTGCCACGACACCTGGCTTATTGTTCTGTGGTTTTAGTAGAGATGGGGTTTCACTCTTGCTCAGGCTAGTCTTGAACTCCTGAGCTCAAGCATTTTACCTGCCTTGGCTTCCCAGAGTGAGCCCAGGTGCCCAGCCCTGACATTGTTATTCTTAGCTTATGATAGGAAAATTGGCTTTTAAAAATTAAGAAATGAAAGAAAGCAAAAAATAGCAAAATTAGTGACGTCAAGCCTCTGCACATTTAATTTTTCTTTCATTCCCAACTGTGGTACGGGTTTTGGGTTTTGCCCCAGCTGGCACCCAGTTGGTGTCGAGCTGTGTGGAACCTGACTCCTGTGCATCTGCATATGATGAGGCTTAGTTTGCTAATCTAAAGAGGCACATCAGGAGCCATCTGGAAGTGTGTCACGCTTGGAAATCTGAGACCAGACTGGGAGGGCCTTTAGAGCAGGAAACTGAGGCCTGAAAAATCACAAGCCTTGCCCAGCCAGGGTCATAGAGTTAGCACCAGAGCTGAGTTTAGACCCTGACCTACACTCTCCCGACCCTACATTCTATTAATAAACTATGCTTAGTCATTATACTCATCTAAAAACTCACCTGTGCTACTAAAAATGCAGTCTTAAGACTGTGAAACCAGCTTCTCAGGAAAGATGAATTACCTAATATGTTTTTCACCCAAACTTCTTAATGGGATAACCTGACAGCATCGATGTCTTTTGGAATACATTCATTGGGTGACTTCAGGCGAGTGAGAGACAGAGTGGCAATGGTATTAATGTCGGCCTGTAATTGTTCAGAGTGGCTCCCAGAGTACATTCAACTGGAATAACCCTACCAATAGTGAAAGGGTAGTGTGATGCCAACTTGTGAGCCTTCCCTGGGGAGCAAACTGTGTCAGGAGAAGCCAGCAGCACTTCTAGAACACAAGGTTTCTAGGGCATCTCCCAGGCACTGGCCAGAGACCTGGCTACTGCACCTGCAAGATGACCATCAGTGTTTTGTAATCTGGGGTTTTTGAGATTTTTTCTTTAAGTTGCCTAAAGGTAAATGGGTAGATAAAGCTGCTATTTGGTTTCCTAAGGGAAGTCCACCAGTGTATATGGAGTAAGTGTTGATCACTGTGAGAGGTTCTGGGTTGAGCTGCAACCTTTCCTAGCTTAGAGCTCTTCATCTATAAAAATAAGAATAATAATTGTATTGGCCCAGAGTTTGGATTATATAAGAGTTGTAGATTAAATAAGCTCATCTTGTTAAATCTATAGAATTGTGTTTGGCATATAAATTCTAAGTTATAGTAGCTATTATTATTCTTTCTGGCATGTATTTAATCATGGTCTTTCTTACCTATTGTTTAATCATTTTAATGATTTCCAGGCCTCTAGGGAAACTGTAAAGTAATCCCACAAAGAAAGAGACCTGATTTTTACACTCTTTATTTACCCTCTTCAGTATTGCATGTACATATATGTACATAGTGGTAATAGTTTCATTTTAAGTGGTATGTGTAGGTCCCCTGATACATAATCACTTAAAATGTAACTATTATTGTAGTAAACAAAATATATGAAAGAGGAGTAAGCAACTGAGGCAAAAAGATTGGCTTTAGTTCACAGGTGGGAGTTGTTTTTTTTTGTGTGATTCTTAGAGCTTCCTTACTCATTGTTGGTGAATCTAATAAGCTCTTCTACCACAATTAAGAGCAGTATGAACATCATTTAGTAGCAATTTCAAGTTGTCATAGATTCTTTGCTCTTCTTGGTCCATGGTGGGAGGGAATCTCAGACAGTAAATTCTGATCTATGAGACTATCTAAAAGCAAGTCGTGGGTCATGAATATGTTTGAACATATTCCCCTTGCTGAGGGTGTGAAGAAGTCCCCAGGGTGAAGGGAACCTTTGTCTTCAGCCACCCTCTGCCTCCTCCTCCTCCTTTTCCTCCTTTATCAGCAGCTCCGATCCTCACAAACACTTATTAGCGTTCACACAAGTTTGGGGAAAACTGAAAATTACACCCTAGTAGGAAGAGTTGGGACCCAGTGGAATCACTCAATAAAATTAAGCCAGTTGCTGACAGGAGTCCTCATGATGGCAAGAGCTGCCAACAGGACCCTCCACCATCCACCCAGCAGCCCAGGCCCTCAGCCCTGTCTCTCACAGCCATGTGGGTGCCCTCTCCTAGGTGAAAATGCTGTATTTCTCCTTCTCCTAGGCTGGAACAAGACATTAAAAAGTTAAAGGCTGACCTGCAGGCCAGCAGGCAAGTGGAACAAGAGCTCCGCAGTCAAATCAGCTCCCTCTCAAGCACTGAGCGAGGGATCCGCTCAGAAATGGGCCAGCTCCGGCAGGAGAACGAGCTGCTGCAAAACAAGTACGTGCACCTTTCCGGCCTTTGGTGGGAGCCTGGCAGCTTCACTGTTTCTCTCGTTTCCAAGGATTGGAGCCCAAGATTCATGGTGACAAAGACCTAACTGAGAGGTTTTTAAATAAAGTGTTTAAAATATTTGACTTAGTACCAGATATTCAACATGTTTATGAAATCTACAAAAATGTATTTAATTGTAACAAAAGTTTACTATTTTGTCTTCTCTCATTAAATAACTTCTTAGTTTTAAATAGTTATTAAGCATTTATGATAATAAAAATAAAATTGACAAGTATTTCTACTACAATTTGAAAACCTTGTTCCTTTGAATGAAAGTTTCCAGAGGATTAGACTAAATTTACTTTGATTTCCAGAACTGAAAAAGGACATTAAACTTTTGAATAATTGTATTTGAAGAGTAGGCAAAAAACCAGCTCTTTTGTGTGAATTCTTTTAAGCTTTGTATTAATTCATTCTGGAATTACTTCTTGATTCAGTGTGAGTCTGTCTTTTTTTAAAAACATCCAAGCAATGTGTGTGGTAGTGATTACTATCATAGGCTCTGGGCTTTCCCCATTAGGAGTTCAGCAGTTTTCAGGAATGTATCCAAAAGCTAGAGCATATCCAAAAGCTAGAGCATTACGGGCAAACAACCTGGCTATTGCTTCTGACCAACATTTGTGGTGATGGTAACATTGATACACAGAACATCCTAATAATAAGTTCATTTCCTGTTGACAGGAAAAGCTGGTTGTGGGGGGCGCGGATGGTGGTAGACAGGGAATATAGCTGAATTTTCTATCTGAAATTCAGGATCCTGTGACTCTAACCAAGAGGTCAACATCCTGCAGCTGAAAAGGAAAGACTGCATAGGCTACAGCATAATTGTATTCAGGAAAAGAAAAACCATGGCCCTCCCACCCCCCACCTCAGCTTGGCAGGGCTGTTCCATCAGTGGTTCTTTAGTTGAAATGAAGTTCTTTACGGGGCATTAGAAGTAGTTCTACAATTATCTTCCCCTCTGTTAGAAACTTGTTTTACCCTATTTTCTGGAATACCTTTTGTAGATTACTTAACCTTAATAGAGCAGAGAGGCTAGGTCTTATTCTCTGTCTTATAGGTCAGCTTATTTATTGGTGTTTAGGAATTATTTAAGAATAATTGGGCTCGGCACCTGTGGCTCAAGCGGCTAAGGCGCCAGCCACATACACCTAAGGTGGTGGGTTCGAATCCAGTACGGACCCGCCAAACAACAATAATGGCTGCAACCAAAAAATAGCCGGGCGTTGTAGCGGGCGCCTGTGGTCCCAGCTACTTGGGAGGCTGAGGCAGGAGACTCACTTGAGCCCAGGAGTTGGAGGTTGCTGTGAGCAGTGAAGCCATGGCACTCTACCCAGGGGCTCAGCTTGAGGCTCTGTCTCAAACAAAACAAAACAAACAAACAAAAAGAATAATTGCAGTGTTTTACTTGGACATTCTGGGAGTTGATACTTAGGATTTCTGTTTAACCTCCTGTTTACTTGGGCTTAAAGTGATAAAGAGTAGTCATGTTTCTCAAGATTTACAGTGGGCATTTATAATTATAAGATTCTATATGACAATCATTTCCATATAGGTTACATAATGCCGTGCAAATGAAGCAAAAAGACAAACAGAATATCAGCCAGTTGGAAAAAAAGCTAAAAGCTGAGCAGGAAGCCCGAAGTTTTGTAGAAAAGCAATTAATGGAGGAGAAGAAAAGGAAGAAGTTAGAAGAAGCCACTGCTGCTCGAGCTGTTGCATTTGCTGCTGCTTCAAGGTGTGTCCATGTCACCTGAGTGTTTAAAGGTTGGCTTTCCTTGTCCCAAGATAGACGTGGGAATTTGATGCCTTGGGCAGGATTAGACATGTAACAATCATGCATGGATGCATTGCTTTTAAGTGCTGTTTTATTAGCTGGTTTAAACTCCATTTCTGCAAGCTTATGCTATCTTACAGCTTCATCCTTCAGCAACCTCATCTGTAAAATGGGGAGAGAGAATCACCAAAGTAAAAGGGTTTCCAGTCACTTTCTGTAAAGATGATTACTAAATGCTTTGAGTAATTTCATCTTGAATTTAGGTGCCTCTAGAGCAGCAGTTCTCAACCTGTGGTTTGCGACCCACAGGAACTGTATTAAAGGGCCATGGCATTAGGAAGGTTGAGAACCACTGCTCTAGAGAGCTGTCATTATTTTCTACTCTTAGGTGTGTGTGTTTCTGGAGTTTTTAGAAATTTCTCATTTTCTCAAAATGTAAGAAACATAAAATTTTGGCAGCCTAAGTACTATATACTGACTGCTTATGTCTTTTTTGGATATCAGCAAACTGTCAAATTGAGGTGGGAAAAAAAAGTGAAACATAAATCTCTATTAGATAGCATTAAGTTGGTGGGGAAATGAAAATTGAGGACTACCTCCTATACCACTGAAAAATATTCCAACATGCAAGTATCTCCAAAACTAATAAATACCTGCCACCTCAGTTCCAGCAAGGAAAGAAGATGGTTAAGAGCCTTTTGAGGGTTTTGGGAAGAGTGGTTTCATTTTGTTGTTTGTTTGTTTTTTTTTGAGACAGGGTCTCATTCTGTCACCTAGGCTAGAGTGCCATGGCCTTAGCCTAGCTCATAGTGTTGTGCCCACCCCGGGGGTCGCCTACCCAAAGACCACTCACAATCACAAATCGATGCAAAAAGCAAGAGGCAGGTTTATTGCTGGCG